GAGGAGAGGTGCCAAAAACAACCTTTGCAAGACAGAGCAACTGTGCTGTAACTGCAGGGCCGAGGGCACTGCCATCGCTGTCGTCATGTCGTGCTCACTTAGTCCTTCCTCCCCTCTTCCCAGGCGAGGCTGGGGCGAACCTCGCACCATCTCACAAAGCCCCAGAGCTCATCCTCCTCCCCACGAGGATTCCCCCCTCCCTCCGTGCTTTCCATTTCATCCCGGTGGAGCCGGAGCAGCCATTTCGCCCGTCCTGGGAGCCGTTTTGCTCCGGGTGTGCAAGTTGGGGCAGGTCACCACCGCCTTCCCTTCCCTGGTTAAACATTCTCCCGGTGTCCTCGCCCGCAGTGCTTGGCTGCTGCTCCCGGCAGCCTCTCCCCCGCCGCCCCCCTTCCCGCTCGCTGGGAAAGCCTCATCCCGGCTCCCCGGGCTCAGCCCGGAGCCTCCGCCGCAGTCGGTGACCTTCACTGCTTCTCCTCTCCTTATCAGACCCAGAGCACCAGACCAGATCCAGGGAAGGGGCTCCCGGAGCTCCCAGATGGCTGAGGAATCGTGCAGAGTGGCGTTTCGGGGGAAGGATAGATTGGGGGTTATATATATATATATTTTTTTTTTTTTCTTCCCTTCAGTCCATGAACTTATTTAACGTGTTTCTTTTGGAAGTCCCTGCCCTGGAGGGGCTCTGGGGGGGAGCTGCCTGGCAGGGCAGATGCAGCTGCCCCGGGTCAGGTTTCATTGCTGTTGGATTTCGGGGAGGGAAGGGGGGGTGCTTTCTGCTCTTCCTTTTTAAACAAAGCCTTGAAGGGGGAAGTGGATCCGATGTTTTTATTACTGTATTAACATTCGTTTTAATTCATTTCAGAAACTAACCCATTTTTCTTCCTGATTAGAACGTCATAGAATTAGACGAGCTGTAACCCCTCCTGAAGTGCCTTATTTTCCTACATGATATAAATATATTTATAAGAGTAATTATTCCACTTGTATCTTAGGGGTTTATTGCTGAGCAGAAGATAAGGTGGGAGAGGAGGGATGGGAAGTGCCCTCCTCGGACCTAGCCAGGCTGGGGGGTTTGGAAGGGCAATGTTTGACGGATACTCTCAGGGTGCAGGGGCTTCCTCACTTCAGACCAAAGGAGTTTCACCAGTGAAACTCTGCTTAGAAAGAAGAAAAAAAGATTTTAAAAAAAATAATAAAAAAAAATAAAATAAAAAAACAACCTTGTGAGCAAAATACTGTAGATTTATTTGGTTTGGTTTTTTACCCCTGCAAAATAAACACTGATGGTAGGACTCTGCAGGGAGGCAGTGGGTGGTAGGGGATTGGAACCCGCTCCAGGTCCGTACCTGCACATCCCAGCACATCCCAGTGCAGGCTCCCTGCCTCCTGTATTCCCATGCAACGTCTGTCTGTGCTTTTCCCTGTCGGTTGCTGTATAAGCCAGGCTTTCCTGCTGCTTTGTTTTGTTGTTTTTAATAATCAGCTCAGTAACCCCTGGATGAAGATCCCAACTGCAAATATTTTGTAATGTACATGTATAAAAAAAAAAAAAGTAATAATTTTTTTGATCCTTTTTTAAAACTTGATAAAACCTTTCTATCCAGTCGGTGTTTGTGTGTGTTACTGGGAGGGAGTGGGGGGTGAGCACAGAGGCTTTGGGTGTGGCTTGGAATCGTGGAATGGTTTGGGCTGGAAGGGTCCTTAAAGCTCATCCCATTCCATGGGCAGGGACACCTTCCATTAGCCCGGGTTGCTCCAAGCCTTGTCCAACCTGGCCTTGGACACTTCCAGGGATGGAGCAGCTGCAGCTTCTCTGGGCAACTTGTCTCCTTCCCGGGAGCACAGAGAGGTGCTGGGCCATGAGCCACTCGTGCCTGCCCTTGTGTCCTTGGAGGTGCTGGCTGTGTCCGAGGAAAACCAGCGCATCCCGAGCTGTCTGACAAACACCACCAGCACAAACACCTCTTCCCTGTGCCGAGCTGGGCTGGAGGTTATCCACGGTGGGAGTCTGAGGGTGACAGCACCGAGGAAGCCCCATCCAGGAGGAACCTCCCAGCGGTGCTCCCTGCCCTAGGAAATGAGCCCGGGCTCCATCTTGCAGAGCGGAATGGCTGCAGCTGGGCTGGGAAGGGGCTGCCGAGGCTTCTTGCCTCCATTTCGCAGCTCCAGGTCCCTGGTGCAGTTAATGTGCCTGGCAGCGGTGGCTCCTGGCCCCGAGCTCAGGTGCCTCGTCTGCCCTCGCTCCGTGTGGCTCCGTTTTCTTCCCGGTCGCTGAAGAGCAACAAAAGGCTCCGTCCCTGCTGCTCCTCGTCCCTGCTTTTACCGCGGGCTCCGCTCTGCCAAATTCCCTTGGCTTTCGGAGACACCGGTGCCTCGCTCCGCAGTGCTGTGCCTTTCTTGGCTGACAATAGTCCCTGGCTGCAAAACCTCATTAGATTAATTGGCCTTGCCAGCTCCTGAACAAGCAAGGCCTTTAGTCGTGCTGGGGCGCGGAGGGCAGGGGAAGGAGGGAGCTCTGGGGCTTCCACGCTCCCTGGAGCTCTCTGTGTCCCAGCTCTTGGCTCTGCCTCGAGGCCGGGAGGGGCAGCCGGTGCTCCTGGCACCCTGCATGGGTGCGGCTGTGGCAGGGGGTGGTGCCTCTCTGCTTTTTTGGGGTGCATGGTAGCACGTGGCCCTGTGCTTTTGGGGTGACAGCCCCTGGAAGTTGTCTTTGGAGTCCGGGGGGTGTTGGTGAGTGTCGTGCTGGTTTAACCCCCTAAAACACAGGGAAAACTCAGTCCCAGATCTGCTTTCCTGGGTAACCCACAGGGCCCTACGCTTCCACTCTCCAGGGAAGCTGCTGGTGCTCGGTGCAGGGAGAAGATGGGAGTTGTTGGGAATTGTGTGCCGCTGCTCTTGGAGCCACAGCCCTGCCCGTGAGCTGCAGTTTCCTGCCGCAGCTGGGGGAGCCTCTCCACAGCTCCAGTGCCTTGGCACACCAACCTTGGCCCTGGCCTTTGATCTCTGTCCTTGCCCGTCTGCCTCTTCCACACGACTCGGCACCGGATCACAGCTGGCCGGGCTGCGGCTTCACAGGAGCCCCTGTCTCCAAAGACCTATTTAATTTTCTCCTTCAAGGTGGTGTTAGCAACACCCAGAAGATGCTGCCGGCTGCCTTGGACGAGTGGGCTGCGTGTCCTTTCCACCACTGACGTCAGCTTCTCTCCCTTAATTCCCCCTCTGGGACCGAAGCGAGTGCAGGCGCTGCCAGCTCGGATCAGCGTTAACAGCCTGCTCTCCCAGTGTGTGGCAGCGCTCCGCCGTGCCAATGTCACCCCCAACTCGCGCTGCTGTCCCTGGCCAAGCAGCCATGGGTGGTGGGAGAGCACTCCCCTCTTCCAGCATCCCGGGAAGGGCCCGCTGCCAGCAGAGAGTCCCCGTTCCTCGCACGTAGGTGTGCTGAGATGGCAGCTCAGCCCCTCAGAAATGGCTGACTCCTTCTCTCTCGCTCCTCTTGCTGCCTGGTGGTTTTTTTTCTCTCCTCCTCCCTTGCCTTTGCCGTTGCCTACGCGGTTGTGTGGGGAAGGCAATCGGCTCCCGTGCTGCGGATGGCTTTATCTGTAACTCTTCCATCTGCTCACAGCAGCTCACAAATAACCACGGGGTGCCAGAGGAATTATGTTATTTGGAGCTCAAGTTTCTGCAGTCTGGCAGGGCAGCAGCTCTGCGCCGGGCTCAGCCGCTCCGCAAAGGCCAGCGCCGGCATGGCGAGGGCTCGAGGCAGCCGGCACAGAGCTGGGGATGTGGCCAGGCAGGAATTATCCTCCCCATCCAGTCAGACAAAGCCCCAGCCCTCAGCCAGCAGGGGAGCCTGGTCCTCTGGGAGGTCCCCATGTGGAGCAGAGGGTCCCGCTGGCCCCTGTCCCTGCGCCCCATCCAGGGCTCGTGGCACGAAGCGGCTTCCGCATCAGATGCTGTGGCAGGAATAAAACAGGAGGCTGCTGAGCCCCTCTCCACCCTGCACTTCGCCATCTCCCACACAGGCACAACCTTTTCAGACAGGCTTTCCTCCCTGGGAAGCACCACCCCGTGCCTCCCGGAGCCACGGCTGCGGTGGTGGCCCGGGATGATGCTCCGAGGCTGAGCCGCGCCGGGAAATGCCTCCCGCTGCCTCCAGCATTTGGTAAAACGCTTACAGCGGGGCCGTGTTTTCTTCATTTCCTGCCTGCTCCTGCTTCCAAGGAAACAAAATCCCCCAAGCCAGGGCTGAGGTTTCTCATTTAAATGTAACCCAGGCCCACAGCCGGAGCTGCCAGCCCTCCCCATGGCCCGGCGGTCCCAGGGTGGTGCAGGGAGGATATTGGGGATCGTGATCCCATCACGGATGTCCCAGTAAGGCACTGGGACAGAGACCCATCCCTGGGATGAGGTGTGGGTGAGGGCAACGCTTGGCTCTGCCCCAGGGAGGGCACTCAGGGTTCAGGGTGCTGGTGGGAGGGGTTGGGGTAGCAGGCACCTCCTCTCCTCCTCCCATCTGGTGCAACTGGCACCAGGGCTGGAGTGGAGGCTCTGCAGTGGGCGCTTTGGGACCAGCCCTGGCTTTGCTGTGGGTGCTGCTGGCGCTCTCACCTGCAGGGTGGCCAAGGGCAGGCCCTTGGAGCCAGATCTGGGCCCTGCTGCTGCCAACAGGACCAGGGCTGCCAACACTGGAGATGGGAAACAAATCCCCCCCAAGTCCCCTGCCTGCACTGCAGCACGGGCAGGGCTTGGAGGCAAGAGCTGCCTGTGCTTACGGCATCTGCTGGAGCCTGGGGAGGGCTGGCCCTGCCAGATGTGTGAGCACAGCTAGGGTAACGCCATACCCACATCTCTCAGCTCGTGTTTTAACCCCAAAATCGGGCTGTTGGTCCCCCCAGAGCCCCTCCTGCTCATCCCCAGCGTGGGGGTGGCTGCTCAGCACTCAGGCGCCTTCTTGGATGGGTTTGACTCTTTTTTATAGCTCTACTTTCTGCGTCTTTCTCCACCAAAAAAGGGAGCAGGCTGGGCCATGCTGCTGCAGGCTGTACCTCCCTGCCTGCTGCCGCCTGCTCCATCATCCCCCAAAGGCCTGGAGCAGGTGGGAATGCCTCTGGACTCGCTGGAGTGCTGGGAGAAGGACCAGCAGCAGCAGGGTTGGAAGGTTGTGGCTCCTCCAGCCCCGTTGTCAGCCTCGGCTTCCCTCATCCATCCTGGCAGCAGGGAATCAGACACAGGTAGGAGGCACAGGGTGTGTTTCCCACCTGGGAAGGGGCACACGGAGCAGCCACGTGCTGGGTGATGGCCACCCTGGGGGCTGGTGGCAGCAGGGGATGGGGCTGTGAGGGTGACGTTTTTGGGGGACATGTGGTGGTGGGGACAAGGGCTCAAGGGCTGCAGAGCCAACAGCACTGGGGGGTCCCAGCAGACCTGAATGGTGCTGCCTTTGTGCCATGCACACCCTGGTGTGTCACCCTGTCCCCAGGGAAGGTGACAGGGACCCCAGGGAGTGGGAGGGACTGGATGGGCTTGCACACCACAGAGAAGCTCCCTCTGAAGACATCAGCAGGGGAGGCACGAGGGAGAGAGAAGCTGTTTCAGCTGCCATGTGATGTTGACATAAGAACCACCAGGTATGAACTGCTCCTGAACACAGCAGGGCTGGGAATTACAGGATTTTTCACTGCTGGGGGAGGTGGGCTTGGGAATTATCCCTTGGTTGAAGGATGGAGGGCCCTGGGGTACAACGAGCATCTCCAGCCCCTGGCTTAACCTCCCTGGGGACAAGGAGAGCCCCAAATTCCCCATCCACAACACTGAGCCTAGCCCTGGGAGAGCGGGAGATGATCTGGGGGTCCTTCAGCCCTCTCTCCAACCCCATTTCCCCTCATCCCTTGCTGCCACAGCCCCTTTTCAGCCCCGAGCCGAAGGAAATCTTTATTTCCTTTGCGACAAACAGCACCAACCCCCCGGGCTGCCACCAGGTCCCCGAGCCCAAGGTGAAGTGGAGCCTCGGGGGGGCCGGCACTCCTCCTCCTCCCACAGCACCAGCCGTGCCCGGCTGCTCCTCAGCCCCGGGCTCTGCCACATCCCGGCGCGTCTGCCGATGCTCAAATGCCCGTGAGAAACCTGCTGCTCCCTGACCGGGGCGAGCAGGGACACGGGGGGCTCCGGGGGTGCAGAGTCCTGACACCAGAGGGGCTGAGCTGCCCTAATTAGCTGTGCCATCGTTAACCCTTCCTTCCCTGAGGCGAGCAGGAGCAAGGATGGGTGTCCCACCTCCTGTGTGAGCAGTGGCTCTTGGAGCACGGGAGCCTCAGCGCTGGGGTGCCCCCCCAATGCAGAGACCCCCAGGAGAGGGGCTGGAGCGCAGTGATGGAGGCAGTGACACCATCCCGATGGATGGAGGGCCCAGCTCGCCGCGCCTCAGATGGATACACCCCTCTGGGAATGAGTCCTCGCCGTCCCTGGAGGGGGACACATCAGATGTCACCGGGAGAGCTGGATGCAGCCCCTCTGCCTGCTGGGCGCTGTGAGGATGAGGATGGTCAGGGCCCGTCCGCCCCCCGGGCCGGTTCCTGCTAACAGGATGTGATGGGTTGGGGGAAGCGCTGTCGCTTGGCATCTCTTATCCGGGAGCAGGGAAACGGAGCAGGGAGATGGCCCTGATGGGACGCGGGGACCTCAACCTGCTCCCTCCTCCTCGGGAAACACCATCCCAGTCCCCTCCCCAGCATCGAACAGCCGCACCTCGTATCACAAATTAATTTATTCCCCTCCCGTGGTTGTAAACAAGAAGCAACCCCCCCCCAAACCCCTCACCCCGTTCCCGAGAGGTCCCCATCCCGAGAGGTCCCCATCCTGAGGCATCCCCCATGCCAAGAGATCCCCATTCAGAGGGGCCCCATCACAAGAGGCCTCTTCACATCCATCTCCTCCCTCCAAAATGTGCAAATCCATCCCCAGTGCAAAGAAAGGCTTTGGCGGAGGGGAAGGGGGTGGGCGGGGGAGCCCTGGGTGCCAAGAGAGGGGGTGGCAGCACCCAGGGGACCCCAAAACTGCCGGGTTTGGGGGCGCGGAGCCTCCGGCAGCCCCCTCCTCCCGAAGGCAGCGAGCACTAGAGGGCAGCAGGGCCCAGTGCTGGGCGGGAGGGAGGCACGGAAATCAAATTAAATAATAATTAAAAAACAATAAATAAATCAATGGATGGACAGCTGGGAGAAAGGGGAGGGGGGGAGAGTTTGAGTCCCTCCTCCTCCGGCAACGGGTCTCTGCCCCCCTTCCCCAAACGTATAAAATATATTTTAACTATCTGAGGTAAATAACGAGGTTGTAAAAAAAAGCAGGAGCTGAGGCGAACGTTCCTGGTGTCGCCCCTTCCCCCCCCCTTAAAAAAAATAAAGCATCGTAAATAGTTTTAAAGAAAATATGAGGATCTCCCCCCCTCCATCTCTCACACATAAATATAGATTATATTATGGATAAAAAATATGCTTTTCTCTCCAGTACATTCAAAAAGTGGAAAAATAGAGGCAAAGAAGGGGTTGTGCCCGAAAAGGACGAGGCTGAGAAGAGCTGCCTGGTTCCAAGAGCTCCTGCAACGCTGCCTCTGGGAACGAGCAGGGGGAATAAAAGCGAATCCCCCGACCGCAACCGGTGAGTGGAAGGTGCAGGGAGGTGGTTGGTGGTCGGTGGGGCTGAGGTGGGGGGAGGCACATCAGACGTCACTGGGGGAGCGGGAGCGGAACGGCGGCGCGGAGGAGAAGCACCCGCAGCACACGGCCCACAGCACTTTCTGGATCTCCTGGTTCCTGAAGGCGTAGATGACGGGGTTGATCATGGAGTTGTAGGTGGCGGGCAGGAGGGTGGCGTAGGTGTAGAGGGCCGGGTAGGTGTAGTCCCCCAGCAGGCAGTAGACGGCGAAGGGCAGCCAGCAGGACGCGAAGGTGCCCAGGATGACGGCCAGGGTGGCGATGCCTTTCCTGGTGGTGACGTAGTGGGAGCTGGCCAGGAAGTGTCTCTGCACGGCGATCTGGTGGGCGTGCCGGCACACGATCCGGCAGATCTGCACGTACAGCTGGAGCATGGCCGCGAACACCGCGAAGAAGGACGCGGAGAGGATGATGAGGTGGTTCTTCGTCAGCGGCCTGACGACGCTGCAGGCGCTGGGCGGCTCCTTCAGGCAGTTCCAGCCCATGACGGGCAGGAGCCCGTAGCAGATGGAGGCTCCCCAGGTGAGGATCAGCATGATGTAAGTCCTGGTGACCGTCCTCTCCGAGTAGTAGGTCAGGGCGTTGTAGAGGGACAGGTAGCGGTCGATGGTGATGGCCAGCAGGCTGCAGACGCTGGCCGTGAAGGAGGTGACCAGCAGCCCCACCGTGAGCAGGCTGACCGCCTCCGATGGCACGAAGTAGACGAAGGCAAAGTGCAGGATCAGCCCCAAACCCGCCAGGAGGTCGGCCGTGGCCAAGCTGCCGATGAGGAGGAACATGGGGGCGCGGAAGGCCGGCGTGTAGAAGATCACCACCACCACCACAGCGTTCTCACAGGAGATGATGGTCCCGGAGATGCAGAGCACCACGTCCCACGGGTTCAGGGCGAGGGGTCGCACCACAGACTCCAAGTCCAGGGAGCTGCCGCTGCCGTTCCTGGCAGAAAACCAGCCCTGCTGGCCTTCGCTGGAGTTGGGGGGCCCTTTCTCCATCATGGTGGCAGAGGGTGACCTGCTGCAGCTGAAAGCAAAAGCAGCCCCCTCAGCACCTGCTGCCCTCAAGAGCTCTCCCTGTGCCACCCAGCTGGGGACAGTCCTGGCTTTCCCCCCCCAAAGCTGTCTACAGCAGGGGGGATGGAGCTGTGTGTGTTGAGGGGGTGCTCACTGTTTGCTCCAGGGGGATTTCCTGGGATGAGAAGGTTTGGTTTTAAAATAAACAGGTGAATAAAGGGCGGGGGGACACACACACAGCACCCCTGCTCCTGCCTGCCTGAGCTGCTGGGGGTTGGGCACTGCATGATTTTGGTGGATAAATCCTGGGGGAGCAGGACTGGCACTGGAAACCCCTCCTCAGCAAAGACTTCAGGGCCAAACCGAGGGCATCTCAAGCAGCAGGTGAAGGGGGTAATCAACCCTTCCCCCTCCCCCTAGACCAGCACCCCACCGGGAAAAGACACACCCCCACCCCCACCATACACCCCCCAAACAGGGGGATCCCCACTTACCTTGGGGGGTCTTACCCCTCCCCGGGCACAGCCACCATACACCCCCCAACCAGGGGGATCCCCACTTACCTTGGGGGGTCTTACCCCTCGGGCACAGCCCCTGGATGGGGTGTGGGGGGCACGGCCGCTCCTCGCCGCCCTCCCCTTCGCCCCGCGGGCTCCCCCCTCTCGCGGTTCCCCACCCCCCCGCGGTGCCAGGCACTCACCTGCCGGGATGCTGCGGGGCCGGGGCCCGGGCTGTGCGGGGCTGCCCGGCTGGGGGCCCGCTGCCATGGGCGCCGCCGAGTTATAGTGGCCGAGCCCGGCCGGGGGCTCAGGGGTTCGGGGTGACTCACCGCCACCCCCAAAACCCCGCTCGCCCCGCCGTGACGTCAATGCCGCCGACGGGCCAATCAGCGCCCGCACAGGCAGCACGCGGCGCGCGCGCCGCATAGTAATCGCAGCTCATTCATAAAAACAGGGCCTCCCATCACCCACCCAGCCACCACCCACTTCGGCCCACGCCCCGCTTCACACCCCCCTACCCACCTCAAACCCGGGCTCACGCCACCCATGGGACCCCTTCTTTAACACCCGCGATAAAGAGAAAGGGGTGCCCCCTCCCTCCCCGCAATGCAGAGGTTTGGGGGCTCCGCTTTGGAAGGGGCGGCCAGCGGGGAGGAGGAGGAGGAGGGGGTGAGGATGAGTCCTCCCCACGCCCCGCACATCCAGGGGTGCGCAGCCCCGGAGGGTCCCCGCGGCCCGGCTTTCCCACGCGAAGCTGAATAATTCATGGCCGGGAGAAGCGGGAAGGCCCGGCCGGGAGGGGCTGCGGGAAGGGCGGCTGGCGGGGAGCCCTCCCCCCGGGGGGAGGAGGAGGAGAAGGGGGAGGAGAAGGGGGAGGAAGGAGAAGCCGTGCGCCCCCAGGGACTCTTCCCCAGCGCCGGTTCCTCGAAACCCGGAGAGTTTCCCTGTCCCCTCTGGGGAGAGGGGGGATTCCTGGGGTACATGGGGCTGCCGGAGCCCCCGATGCCTCCAGAGGGGTCTGCAGCTCCAGCTCGGGCAGGGAGCGGAGGGTCCCGGCCCGGTTCGGCCCGGTTCGGCCCGGCCGGAGCTGTTCGCGGTGCTGAACGAGGGGACTCGGGAGCCGGGGGGCACCCGTGGCAGCCCCGGGGAGGGTCGCGGTGCCCCGAGCGCGGGGCAGCGGTGGGGAGTGTGTGCGGGGTGTGCGGGGTGTCCGGGCGTGAGGTGCGTGCTGCGGGTGCGGGTGTTGGTGCGCGGGGTGTGCAGGTTGTACAGGGTGTGCAGGTGTACAGTGTGCTCAGGTGTGCAGGTGTGTGTACACTGTGTGCAGTTGTGTGCAGGTGTATGTGCGGTGTTTTCAGGTGTGCAGGTTGTACAATGTGTACAGTGAGTGCAGGTATATGCAGGTGTACAGATGTGCAGGTATGTGCAGGTGTGTGCCGGTGTGCAGGTGTACAGTGTGTACAGGTATGAGCAGGTGTACAGTGTGCACAGTGTGTTCAGGTGTGTACAGGTGTGCAGGTGTACAGTGTGTTCAGGTATGTGCAGGTGTGTGCAGGTGTACAGTGTGTTCAGGTGTGTACAGGTGTGCAGGAGTACAGTGTGTACAACCCGTGCAGCACAACACCCCGTGCCAGGGGTTCAGTGCCGCGTCAGCCGCGGCTTCCCCACGGCCAGGCAGGGAGTTGGGGGTGTGGGGAGTTGTGGGGCGGATGCACCTCTGGAGAGACCCCCCCTCCCCGGGCCGGGCCTGCCGGGGCGGGGCGGGGCGGGACGAGGCGGGGCCGCCCCCCCATCCTCCCCCGCCGCCGCCGCCGGGGCCGCCTCCCGCGGGCGCGCATCTGCCCGGTGCTCCGCTCCGCTCTCCCGGGAGAACCGCGGCCACACCGCCCGCTGGGACCGGGCCGAGCCGCGCTGAGCCGAGCCGGGCCGGGCCATGGCCCCGCCGGGTCTCGGGGCGCTGCGCTGCGCGCTCCTGTGCGCGCTGCTCTGCGCGCAGGGACCCGCTCCCACCCGCGCAGGTACGGCCGGGGGGCGCGGGGGAGCGGAACTTGGGGCTTGAGGGGGGTGGTTTGCAGCTTTGGGGCAGATGAACTTTTCCGGGGGGGTCCTTTAATTTCCAGAGGCTCCTCCCGCCCCCACAAGACTCCGTCACCTGCTCGGTTTGGGGGGAGAGGGACTCCTGCTCCCAGCCGTGCTCCGGGGGGCTGGGACCCCCCAGGGCCGGGAGGGGTGCGCTGGGCTGCTGCTGGATAAGCGGGATGCAGAACCCAACCCTGACCCCAAAAAGTGTGGGGACCTCGTGGATCGTGGTGGGGAGCGAGGAGCGGAGCCGTCTTCCCCCCCTCCCTTCCCGAGGTGCTGCAACTCCGGGCATTAATTATGCAAACCCCAAGCATCCTGCTGCCCCCCTTCTCCCATCCCCCGCGCTGCTCCCGGGAGACATTTCCACCCCGACTTATCCCAGCGGGACCCACGCGTGTCCCCAGAGCGCCCATGGGGATGGGGGTGCCCTCAGCCGGCCCCGCTGCCCCCCTTTATTCCCTCTCCCTCCCCACACCTGACGGCAGGAGCGGGAGTTGACAGCGCTGGGCTCGAACGTCTGTTCCTGCGCCTGCCGCGATAAAAATAACTTAAATTACAAACCTGCCTGAAACCCTTGCGAACAAAGTCCTACTTTCCCATTGGCTCCCGGCAGGTCTCTAAATGCTGCAGGGGGGGGCCCAGCGGCGTGCCCACCCCCCGCCCGTAGCCATGGCAATGGGGCCGCAGCATCCCCGCTTCCTGCCTTATGCCACCAGTTGCCCCCTTGGCTTTTGCTGGGAAAGAAGGGAAAGGACTTTCCCGTCAGCCAGACACGGTTTTTAGGGGACCCTAAAAGCTGGGGGGCTGGCGCTGGTCACCCCAAAGGGAGGCGGTGTGGTGGGAAGCGCTGCCGGCAGGGATGCCTTGTGCTTGGTCGGTCCCTGCATGGAAAGACCCCTGGGGAGCAGACCCAGGGGGGTGCCAGCCCTCAGCGAGCCCTGGAAGGAGGTGTTTGCCCCGTGAGAGCCTGGAAACACATCCAGGGTGGGGAACGGCTCCCGGGTCTTTGGCGGGATGGTGCAAACGCGGGCGTGGGACTCGGGAGGTGCAGGCAGGGCCCGGCCGCGGCTCGTCAGTCGCAGCCTCCCTCGCCGACAGTCATCGCTATAAATTAATGATGAGCGTGTGTGGGGGAAGAGCAGCTCCACAAACACCCGAGTGACTCACCACCCTCACCGGGGCCAAGGGAGCAGGGTGTCCTGCGGGGTGGTCTGCGGGGGAAGGGGGGGTGACGCTGCTCAGGTAACCCCGACCAGGCTGTGCAGCCCCCTTGTTGCATTTAAACATCCCCCAAAAGATCCCGGGATCCCAAATCCCAACCCCTGGGCTGGGGGATGTTTCCCTGCAGTGTGGGTGATGGGGTGAGCCCTGTGTGTCCCAGGTGGGTGTTGGGAGCTGTGGGGTGTCCCCTCTCCAGAGAGCTGGTGACGCTGCAAGCCCTCCCCTGGGATGGGTCTGTGGGTGGGTTTGGTGCTGTGGGATGTGCCTTCATCCCTCCCACAGCATCATCAGAATTCCCCCTCCATGGAGCTGAGGGTCCAGCCCCAACCCCAGAGCCAGGGGGGACAGATGCTGGCCCTGCCCTCACCCCTTTTCCCCGGATTTGGCAGGAGAGTGTGGCGAGCTGAGGTCCTGTGAGACATGTACGGCTGTCACCCCCTCACACAACACCACCGGCTGCGTCTGGCTGGGCTGTGGGACCCCTGAGGAACCAGGTGAGGGGCTTGGCTGCAGGGGACAGCCAGGGGCTGCCACTAACCTTCTCAACTGGCCCATCCAGAGGGAAGGGGGGGGGATCTGTGCCAGTCCAGTGGGCAGGGGTGTAGGTTTTGGTGTGTGCTGCTCACAACCATGCCAGGGTAACGCTGGGAACCCTCTGTCACGTGCACATGGAGCAGCTCTGAGTGATGGAGATGGGAGACAACCAGCTGTTTATAAAGACCCAGTTTGGGGCTCTTCCCTGAGGGGATGCAGATACGAACCCCAGCTCACAGCCTCTTGGATGGATGAATACCCACCCTTGGGAATGAGTCCTCATCATCCCAAACCCTCTGGTGCTCAGGGCAGCCCAGGGCCCAAACACTGTTGGCTGCAGTGGGTGCTGGCTTGGGATCCTTGGGAAAACCCCGTTCCTTCTTCCCATAGAAATAGGGAGCTGCGTGCAGAGAGGGGCAGCACCACGGGAGACCTGTGCACTCTACAACAGCAGCACCCTGTGCCGAGGTAACCCCAGACCCCACAGCCCCCCCAGGCCCAGCAGCCTTCGGGACAGAGGTGTGGTCTGGGGGCTGGGGCCACGGGGAAGAAATCCCACCCCTGGGACAGGGGTCTGGGGTCGGGGGTGTGTGGCAGTGTCCCCTGACACCCCTTCTTCCCCCTTCCCTCTGTCCCTGCCCTCTCCAGCTCTGAAGTCCCCCACAGAAGAGCCTCCACAGTCCCACAGCAAGGAGCCAGTGACGCACTCCACAAGTGAGTGGGTCTAGGGTGTGGGAGGTGGTGGGATGGGGGTCCTGGATGCCCCAGGGATCAGTGACCACTCCCAATAAGACAATTCCCTCCATATTTCACATCCCTTTGGGAGGGATGTGCCTCAGGGTTGCATCAGTGGACTGTGCCCCAAGAGGTGCCACCACTGTCCTGGGTCGCAGCTCCGTCTTTGTCCCCCCTCTTTGCCCTGGACAGGGCTTGGATGGAGCTGGGGGGGTCATGGCACTCCACAGCCCCCCAGGAGCCATCCCTGATGCCATCCTTGCTGGGAATTGCCACCTCCAGCCTGGCTGGAGCTGGGGCTGGGAGCAGAGAATGAACCTCTTCCAGGAAGCGGGAACTGGAGAGCACTGGGCTAATTACAGCAGGTAACCAGAGCCCAGAGCCCGCTGAATTATTGATCCTGATGGGATCTTTTTCCTGCTGCCTCCTTTGCTGCAGCTCCAGCTGCTATGGCATGGGAAAGGGTTGAGCCCATCCCAGCAACCACGTGTCAGTGGAGACATCCAGCCCCAAGCTGGGAACTACCCCTGCAGCCTCTGGGGGATGCGTGTACCCCAAATTCCCCCTCTTTGGTAGGATCATCACTGCTCAGGGATACCCAGAGCATCCAGAAGCCCCCAAACCACCCTGTTTTCCCCTGCCAACAGGGACCACCACCACTAGTGCCCCGCTGACGGGCAGCCCCGAGTTCCACCCGCCCGGCTTCGACACGGCCAGTTTCATCGGCGGCATCGTGCTGGTGCTGAGCATCCAGGCCGTCGTCTTCTTCGTCATCAAGTTCATCAAGTCGAAGGACAGCACCTACCAAACGCTGTAAGGCTCCCACACCCTCTCTGGGACCCAGGGTGGACAGGGGGGACCTGGGCCAAGCCCACCCTTGAAGCCAAAAGTGGGGTCACCTCGGTGCGTGTCCTGTGTCGCCGCTGTGTTGTCTCCTGTGGCTCTTTGTCCTCACCCGGCAGGGGGAGGATTCACTGTCCCCCCCAACATGTCCCCTCACTGGTGTCTGGCTGTCCTGCCACCTCCTCTGTGTGTCACTGCCTGGCTGGATCCTGGCTCTAAACCCTGTGGGGAGTGGGGAGGTCCCCAAATCTGTCCCTCTGAGGTTGAGCCAACTGAGGGTCCCTGCTCTCTTCCCGTGTCCGTGGGGCTCGTTGTGTCTAACATGGGGGGCTGTGCCCCGTCTCTCTTTCCTTCCACGCTGCCAGAGAGGACAACCAGTAGGTTCTGGGTGCTGGTGGCAATGGGGAGGGGGTGCCCTCCCTGCAGCCCTGGAGCTTCGCCCTTCCCTCGCACCTCCCCGGGGAGAGGAGAGTGGCGTGGACCCTCTCCCCTGGTTTGCATGTCGGGTGTTTCCCACCTGGTTTGCTGTTTTCCCGTGAGTTGTTAGTGGTGGAAGGGAAGGGGGTGTCCACCCTCGCCCCCTTTTGCAGGCACAGAGCCCCTTGGGGGGTGCAGCTGATGTACAGCCCCTTCTGCCACCAAGGCAAGGTGCCTCCAGCACCCCCAGTCCCACCACGTCAGGGTGCAGCCCTCGACAGGACAGGAGCTGCAGGGCTCCCAGTTTGGCCCCAGTTAGCACCCAGCAGCCCCCTCCCCACCCTTAGCAGCCCTTGCCCTGTTGCCTCTCCAAGGCTTAGGGGCTCACTGGGGTGGGGTGGGGGTCCCCTTTTCTCCTGGTGGTCTCTCGTTTCCCTCCAGTGTTTTGGCTGGAGCACCCACCCCCCTGTCCTGACAACCCCCCGCCCCCCAGCCCCCGTGCCCACCAGAGGAGTGGAGCCAGGGCCTCGCTGTGTGCTTTTGCTGTGCCTCTGTGTTGCTCTGGGGGGTGTTTGGGGGGAGTTCCCTCTCCCCCCACCCCCTTTCTGTGTGTTGTTTTGGGGAGGGGGGTGCGTGTCGTGTGCTGTGGGGTGACACTTGTAGCTCGGGCTGCCCCCCATTAAACTCTGCGAGGTGGTGTCTCTGTCGTGTCCCAGGGTGGGGGGGGTGTAGCTGGGGTGGGGGTGCAGGGGTGCCCCCCATCCCTGCCCTGCAGGAGTTCCTGGGGCAGTCCAACCCTTCCCTATGGCGTGGGTGCAGCAGGGTGGGCACTGGGACTCCCCTCCTGCACCCCACTCCCTGGGGGGCCTGCAAAGGGCTGGACCCCCCCAGGGTAAAGCCCTCCAGGCCCCTTCCTGCCACGGCTCTTTGTCCAATGCACCAGGATCTGAGGCCACTGCGTGCCCCAGGCTGGGTGGGGGACGCTGTCCTTGTCCCCCCCGGGGTGAAGAGGCTGCTGGTGTCACCCCCCAGGGCCACAGGGCCCCCCCTACATCACAACTATGCAAAGCTGGGGACACCAGGGTGGGACACGTCCCCCAGGCCTGACCCCTGTCCCTGTGCCCAGCGCGGTGGCCTGGGATGCTCCGGGGGTTTGCACCCTCTGGCTGCTCCCCGGGGGGTGCAGGTGGGCAGGGGGGGCCCATCCAGCCCTGAATCCCACCTTGGGATCCCCCACCCTGTGCTTGCCAAGCTCCCAGGGGACCTGGGGCACCCCAGGGGTCACAGGACACGTGGCCATGGGTGGCAGCAGGGGGGCCCTTTGCTGGCTGAGCCCCCAGACCCACTCTGGGGCAAAGCCTGAGATGGCACAGGGTGGGACAGAGACTAATAAAGGATTTTCCTGTAATTCCCGGTGTCTGTGTCATTGTCACCCGTCACCTGTCACTGCCAGGGCCCCAGGAATGGGTGCTGTCCCAGGAGATTCCGACTGCAACACAAATCTCTGGGGATGTGGCTGAGTCCTGCCCACAGGGTGGTGTTGCTGGGTGGCCCTGAATGACTCCAGTCCTCCCAGTGAGCAGGGGAGAGGAACCAGTGTGGGGTCTCCCAGTAGGGAATGGGCCATCCTGGTGTGGGAGTGACCTCTCCACCCCACCCAGGGCTGTGACAAGGCCACTGGAGCCCCGGGGCTGCAGGACAGTGGCAGAGGGGACAGCCCCAGCTGGGAGCAGTGGGGTGCAGCAGCTCCAGCCCCAGAGTGGAGGGAACAGTCGGGGTACGGTGCCCAGAGCAATAAATATCCACCAGACGTGCCCTCTGGTGCCACTTCATTGCTGCTGGAAGGGGAGGGCACAGACCCCCAGCCCTGCACAGTGATGCTCCAGGTCTCCATCCCCCCCAGGTCCCACAGTCCCGCTGGCACCAGGCGGTCCTGGTGGGGCCAGGGGGCTACGCCCGGGGTGCCAGGTTGGTCCGCAGGGGCAGCAGAGCTTCCACCCACTGCTGGGGCTGCTGGAGCAGCTGCTTCCACACCCCCTGCTCCTCCGCCGTCGAGTCCATCCAGCCCACGGGCAGCCCGTAGCTGCTCCCTGCGGAGAGACCACCACGGTCACCCCCCGAGCCACGGCACAGGGGGGCACCCTGAGGAGCTGGGGCTCCCCCGGCCTCACCGGTGCCCAGGCTGAGCCGGATGCCGCCCAGCTGGCGCTTGGAAAAGGCTTCCTGGTGCCAGAGGGTGAACTCGGCGCACGCCTCGGCCAAGTCCTTGGCCTGGAAGCCGTCGTAGACCATGGTGTGGTTGAAGAGGGGGTTCAGGCTCCGCTTCACCACCCGCGTCTTCTGCCGGCTGGCCTTGCTGTCATCGGGCAGCACGTAGCTGGGGGGGGCACAGGGGGTGAGGGGACACTGCCACCAGCCCCTCTGGGTGCCCCCCAAGGCGCCAGCCCCGCTCCTACCACTGCACAAAGGCGTCCACGGTGCCGCTCTGCAGCGGGATGAGGCTCTGAGCGTCCTTCACCCAGATGTGCAGCTCGCCCGTGGGTGGAGTCCCCCTGCCTGCGGGCCAGAGGGGTCAGGGGCACCCTGCCATGCCAGACCCTCCCTCCAGCCACCCATGGGCACCTCTCACCTTCTGAGCCAGCAGGGATGAACTTCAGTGCCAAGTTGAGGTTGCCCCGGCTGGCGAGGCCGTCCGAGGGGATGGGCATCTGTGGAGGATTGGGGGGGTTATGGGGGCTGTGGGTGAAAGGAGAGGACTGGGAGGGGGCTGGGGGGCTCACCCGTGGCTGGAGGTTGAACCACTCAGGGCGTGTGTTGGCCCAGTCCCAGGCACCCAGTGCGACCTCCACCTCGCCCAGGAAGAGGTTCCTGCCCAGGCTGTCATGGTGCCACACCGAGAGGTTCAGGGTCCGGCCCTGCAGGTCCCTCTTCTCCAGCTTGTACTGGTGGGGAGGGGACACAGGGTGAGATTGTCCACCCCCACCCAAACAATCTGAACCATTTCCCCCCCACCAAAACCACCCCAGGGCAGGGTTAGAAACCTTGAGGGTCTCATTGAAGATGGGATCCAAGCTCCTCTTCCTCACCGCCGTCTTGCGCTTGCTGCGGTTGGACTTGTCCGGCAGCAGGTACGTCTTGATGTACCTGGCGGCCAAAAAACAGGGTGGATGAAGGGGGTGCCAGCGTGGGCGTCACCTGGGCAGCGCCACCGGGGGCTGTGGGGTCGCTCACGGGTCCGAGCGCTGCCTCTTGGCCTCGGCCAGTTCCCGGCACTGCACCACGTGGACCTGCAGCTCCTTCTTGGCCGGGTCGTAGTGGAGGGAGAACTGGACACAGCCCCTCACGGCCACACTGCCCAGCTCCCCCTCGCTGTACAGGCTCATCAGGCTCCCACTCAGCTGCGGGGCAGGGGGACGGGGTCAGTGGGGTCAGAGAGGGATGGGGAGGTGACTCCCCCACCCCACACACACCTCCAACCAGCCCCCTGGCCCATACCGTGGAGGAGCTGAGGCTGGACACGGAGGAGCTGGTGCTCAGCAGGCTCGGGGGGGTGTGGCCATTTTGTGGGGGCACCTTGTCTGGAGGTGTCTGATCTGTCTGGGGGGTCTCAGGCCTCTGGAAATGCAAAGAGGGTTCAGTAGTCCCCCCCCAGACCCATGATATGCGTGGGCACAGCCTGAGGTGTGCTGGCTTTGCTCAGGCCAGAGGCCCCCCGCAACCCCATACAGCCACCTCCAGTCCCCCCAAAACCCCCCAAAACCCCCTCCAATCCCATACAGCCCTATATCACCCTCTTCAGCCCCATCAATCCCATATAGCCCTGCCCAACCCTATACAGCCCCCTCCAGCCACCCAGCCCCATAGAACTCCTAAACCCATATGTCCCCCCACAAGCCACTACAGCCCTATTTTGCCCTATCCCCCCCCAAATGCCATCCAGCCCCCCCATCCCATCCAGCCCTCAAATCCCACCTGCCCAGCGCTGCTGGGTGCAGAGTCAGGCTCCTCCTCATCCTCCTCCGTGGATGAACCAAAAGGGTTCCCACCTCCCGTGTCACCTGCAAGGGTGTGGGGTGGCACAGACCCAGCAGGGGTGGGTGGAAGGGTGGGGGTCCCCTTTTTTTGGCAGGAGGAGCAAGATGAGGGGCCACGATGGGGAGTCAGGGGGGAGGTGGGAGTCTGGGAAGCAGTGCTGGGGGGGATCCAACCCCCCAAATCTCCACAGCACCGCCCCCCCATCCCGGTTACCTGTCTGGGCTGGGATGTCCTGCTCCCTCGCTGGGATGTCACCCTTCTGTGGAGGCTGTGACTCAGGGGTCTCCTCCAGGGCTGGGGGGCTGGGCTGTGAGGTGGCACCAAGGGAAAGGGTGAAAACACCCATCGAGCCCATCACCAGGGGGTCAGGCACTGTTCAATCCCTCAGCCAGGGACCCACCTGGGCCTTGGTGGTTGCCTGCTCCTCCTCGGTGGGGCTGCTGTGGGAAGAGACCACCGTTAGTTTGGTCTGGGTGGTGGGCAGATGCTGCACGGTGGGCAGATGGACACAGGGACGGTGGGCAGATGGACACTGGGACGGTGAACAGACAGACACTGGTTTTGGCTGCACCATCCCCTTCACCACAGGCTCTGCTCCTCACTCCCCACCTCCAGCCCTGCTGTGCCACCCCTGGTGGGTACCAGTGAGATGTCACCAGCCCTGGTGTCACCGTGGGGTGACAGCCCCACCTTTCTCCCCCCCCTCACCTCTCATCCGTGTCCGCTGCGCCATCCTCATCCTCCTTCTCCTCCGCTAGTGGCTCTCCGATGGCCCCCAGCTCACCCAGGCTGGGGCCGCGCTCCAGGTCCCCCCGTCCTGGGGACACCGGGGACCTCAGCGGGCTGAGCCCCGGCACCTCGGTCCCCGCACGTCCCCGTCCCTCACCTACCCCGGGGCCGCCTCCTGCGGCGGATGGAGGCCCGGACGAGGTCGGAGCCCAGGTGGTGCCGGTGGCGCTGGGCGCGGGCGTCGCAGAACCAGTCCCCGGTGAGCACCCGCAGCCGCGCCGGGTCCGACACCGACTTGCGGAGCTTGCTGGTGGTGGGTGGGAGGGTGGCGTTGGGACCCCCGCCCTGGCACTGCCATCAGCCCCCCCAGTGTCACCGTCCCCAGGGCCCTTCCCAATCAAGGGAGCCACCACAACGGGGTTTGGGAGACGTCACTGTCTCCCAGGGAGTTTGGGACCCCCAGCGCTGGTGTGACCCACCGTGGGGTTTAAGCCTGGCTGGGTTCAAAGGGTGACCCCATCACTGGGGAAAAGGGGACTGCTCTGTCCCCAAGGGTGGCAGACCCCAAAGTGTCTGCCTTTGGGGGGTCTGTGCTGTCCCCACATGTGATGGACCCCAAAGTGGCTGCTTTTGGGAGGAGCAGCTGTCCCTAAAGCTGACAGACCCCACACTGGCTATTCCTGTGGAGGGTCCACGCTGTCCCCAAGGGTGACACCAAGCAGGGGACACCCAGCCCACCTGATGCGCCCCTCCTCGCGCCGGCGGAGCTGCCAGTCGCGGCGCAGCACCTCTGCGATGGCACATCGCTCCTCCTCCGTCAGGAAGCTCAGGTCCAGCAGCGCCTCGGCCCCCACCTCCAGCGCCATGGCGGGGTGGGGGGACACCTCGGGGGCACCCCGGGGCGCTGGCTTGGGTGGGCGCTGAGGATCGGGGGGCTCCGCTTGCCGGGGGGGTTCAGCGTGCCGGGCATGTACCAGCGATGCCAACATCTGGAGAGGAACCTCGGGGCCGCTGGGGATGATCCCCCGCGATCATCCCGCTGCCAGGAGAAGAGGTGGGGGGAAGCTCAGCGTGCACCCACACACCCACCCAAACACCCCCAGCGAGGATGAAGGGGTGGGATGATGCCGAGGGGGCCAAGGGAAGAGCACGGGCAGTGCCCAGGGCAGAGGAAGGGACACGGTGCCGCTCCCGCCGCTGTCGGTTCCGTGCCAGGGCCAGCCCTGCCCGCTGCCGGGATCCCGCCCGAGGCCTGTGTTTGCCCAGGGTGTTTGCTCAGGGCTGGCTCTGCCCCTGCCCGCTTTCCCATGGGATTCATCGGGTGCCACGGCACACGGACAGATGGCAAAAGAGGGCTTGGTTGCCCCTACAACGGGCTGAGACCTCACCGGTCTGAGAGTGAACCGGGCTGAGACCGTACTCAGCTCATCACACCTCCCAGGGGGGTCTTGCCCCACGGCCGGCCTTGCCTCACCACTATCCTTCCTGTCCCCGTGGCTGGGGAAGCGCTGCCTGCTGCCACCGCGGGCAGGAAATTGCAGCAGCCGTGGGGCAGGACCAGCCCAGAGCCCACCTCAGCCCACCCCCGGCCACCCCACGGGGACCTGAGCACCCCCACGGCCGGAGGGGGTCCCACCCCCACGAGTGGCCCTGTCCCCAGCCCCACAGGTGACTCTGTCCCAGCCCCGGGGGGTCTCAGACACCTCCCGGCGTTGGGGACCCCAGTCCAGCACCCGAGCACTGGTACCAGTGGGCACCCCGGGGGTCAACCCCACCACAGACCCCCCACACACCCACCCAACCCAACCACATCACACACCGGGGACCCCCAACACCACCCGGCCTCCTCGTCCAGGGGGAACCTGTGCCCCCCACCAACACCCTGCCCCCAGCAGCGGGGCTGGAGGGGGTCTCGGGGGGCACATCCCTGCTCGCAGTGGAGTTGGGGTGGGGGGCGTTCGGGGGCCACGTACCGGCTCTCACCGGGGCTGGGGCGATGCTGCCGCTGCCTCCCCACCGCAGCCGCTCGTATCCTGTTTACTGCCGGCACACGGGGGGGTTCCCCCGCCCCGGAACAGCGCTGCCACCTCAAGATGCACCTAGGTCTGGCCCAGGCGCTGCTGCGGCTCCCCAGCTCCCTGTGGGGACCCCGAAAACCGAGCCGTAAACAAGCACCCCCCGCCCGCCGGTGCACACAGGGGGGCTGGGCACCCGGCCCCCCACCCTGCACGGGAGACCAGTCAAACCAGTTAAACCTCCCCAGTAAGCCACAACCTGGGGGGTGAGGGGGGTGTGCACGCCCCCCTTTCTTCTTGGCAGGCAGCCCGCGGCATTGGAGGGGGGTCAACAGACGGCGCCCCCTCTCCCCCAAAATGCACCCAGGCTCAGCCCCTCCTGGATGACCCCCACAGACCCCCAGGGACGGGCAGATCCCAGTCGCCACCCACGACCCCCCACACACTCCTCCCAGCACCAGGGAGCCCATCCCCGTGGCCTCGGACCCCGGCCAGCCCCAGGCCTGTGCCACAGCACGGGGACAAGGAAAAACCACCCCACAAAGGCGTGACCCCAAGCCCCCGACCCACCTTCCTCAGTGGGGAGCAGAGCAGGGAGGGGAGGGGGGGATGCAGCCCACGGGGTGAGGCGAGAGGAGCCAGACCCCCCCACGCCCCCTCCCCGGGGTGTCTGTGCAGCCCCCCGCAGTGGGTCCAGCCCCACGGCCGCCCTTACCTGCCCAGGTGGTGCGGTGTCGGTGGCTCGTCGCGACCCCGGTAACCCCACGGGGACCCTCGTGGGTGTGCGGGTGCTCCCCCCGATCCCACCCCCGGCTGGGTGCGAGGTGACTCAACCGCAGCCCTGCGAGCGCCTCCTCGCCCGGCGGCACGAAATCAGGGACTGGAGCCAGCAGCACCCGCCGGACGGGACTGAACTGGGCTGAACTGGGCTGAACTGGGAGGCGTCAGGCGCCTGGGAAGGGGTGGCGCAGCGGGGATGAAGCCCCGCGGAGGGGGGACCCCAAATCTGGTGGAGACTCGAAGTCAAGGGTGTGGGAAAGGGGATGGGGTGGGTCACCCCCTGCCCTGATGTCACACAGGGGTTTGGGGGGGCAGGATGCGGGCATGAGGTGCCCGGGAGAGCACCTGGGTTGCACTGGGGGGACTGGTAGCCCCAGCTCAGCACCCTCTCCCTCACCCCATGGCTCCCCACAGTCCCATATTCCCTATCCCATGGCTCCCCACAGTTCCATATTCCCTATCCCATGGTTCCCCACAGTCCCATGTTCCCCATCCTGGGGGTGCCCCCAGACCCACAGCTCCCACCCTGCCAGGAACAATCCCATCCTGCCCTGAATGGCCGGGGGTCCTGCCCACCCAGGACCACCCCGGGTGCTCAGCCCCACGCAGGATCAGGCTGGCAGTGCCAGGCAGGGATAAACCCTGGGCAGGAACATCCCTGCCTGGCACAGTAGGACCTGTGCCTCAGCTTCCCTCGATCCCAGGGGGAGAGAGGTCAGCTGGGGCGGGGTTTCAGGCTCCCCCCAAGCTTTATGGTGAGGTGGCAGCACGAACTGAGCACAAAACCGCAAGAAAAGGGGATTATTTTTAGCCTGGTGTCTCAGGAAATGAGACTTCAGCAGTGACACTGTATCTGTCTGTGGGCCACCCTCGTCCTCCTCCCCTTGCTGCTCAGTTTTGGTGGGGAGGGGTCTCATAGGGACCAGGTCCCTGTGATGGCTGTTCTGGGAATGCAGTGAGCGTGGCCAGGTCTCTGCAGGGGGACAGTGGTGTGGGGACAGCCCTAACATGGGCTGGGGGGTCAGCTCTGGGTCACCCACGGTGGGCACCGAGCCCTTTCTGGGCATCCTGGACCCTTTGTCCCTGCAACATCCAGAGCAAGGAATGTTTGTGGGATAGAGAAGGACGTGGTAGGATGTGCCCCCCCTGTTCCTGGATCTCCGAGGATGGATGGATGGATGGATTGATGTATGGATGGATGGATGGATGGTACCTCAGTCACAGATGCCACTCTCTGGGACACATCCAGCAGCTGGGAACAGCCCTGAGCACAGCACAGCACAGCCAGAGCCAAAGGCCATGGCCCAAGGCATGGGTCCCATCCTGCAGAGTGTGTCCCATCCCCACCCCTGGTGTGTGGTGAGTTTGCTGGGTCTCAGACACAGCTGGTGCCTCGGGTGGTAGGACCAGGGGCTGTGTCAGCCCAGAACACCCCGGTGACACCCAGGAACACCCCAGCCATCACCACCAGCACACGGTGACCCAGGGGCCAGGCCAGCCCTCGGGGGTGGTTTTCCTTCCAGCCACCTCCTGGAGCAGCCTCTGAGCACCCCTGCTCCTGGGTGCTGAGTGCCGGGTGCTGGGTGCTGGCAGCGTCCCAGCAGATGAGCAGAACAGGTTCTGCCTCATTTCTGCCCTGTGTGGGCAGCCCCGAGCCAGCACTGACAAAGAGCAAGTCCCTTCCTGCTCCCAGCCCTGTTCCCCCTCCAGGACTCGTTCCTCGGGTCTGGGAGGTGCAGGAGAGTCTGGTTCTTCCTGGGAGGAAGCTGAGGCAGGAGCAGCAGCAGAGACCCACCAGGGGGTTTGGTGGGAGCAGCGGGGCAACACCTGGGCTTTCACACTGCCACATGTTCCCCAGAACAATGGGGTCACCTGGCCCCATTCCCCTGCTGGGGTCCTGGCTCCTGTGCCCTTTGCCCTCCCAGAGCCTTTGATGTGCCACTCAAGCCCTCCCCAGACACGCAGGGATGGACCCACATCTGCCACTGGGACAATGCCCCCCAGCTCAACAAGGACAGAGCCCAGCTCCCACGGTGACAGATCCCAACTCCCCCAGGCTGGGGGGGGCCCTTGCTTGCACTCCATCCAAATTTTTAATTTCAATCCCCCTCCCCGCCCCCAACACGGCAGGGACCTCGAGGCATTTCCAGCTGTGGCTCCAGCTGGGAATGACACACAAAGCCCGTCTGGGAAGCCACCAGCACAAAGCCCCCCAGTGCTGGGTCTTGCACCCCCTTTTTCCCCTCCCCTGCCTGGGAAACATCACGGACGACAGGGTGAGGATGAAGAGGGACTCACAGCCCGGGAGGCACCACAGCCCCCGGTGGATTCCAGAGCTCCCCGTGTGCAGCTGCCAAAGTGCAACCTGATATCGCTCCTCGGGGAGCCCTTTGATGCCCCATCCCCCCAAAAACGGGTGACCCCCCGGCCCCCTCCCCTCCGGCAAAGTGACCGCACATCAAAGGCGGCTCCGGGGCCGTGGCATTCCTGGATCCCTGCGGGGTGGGAGGTCGGGGACCCCCAGCTCTGCTCCCCCCACCGTGGTGCCGGGGGGGATTGGTCATGCTCAGCCACTGGCAGAGGGGTCACTCGGGGATGATGGCTGAGGTGGCAGTCAGGATGGATCCTGACATTCCGCTTCACGGCACTCCTCGCTCACAGGGCTGGGCTGGTCGTGGAGGGCTCGGAGGGGAAAATGAGGGAAGCAGGGCTTGGCACAGCAGCCTGGGCAGAGAGCTGGGAGCATCCCGGGCATCTGAGCGGGACTATCTGGGAACAACAGCCCAGCTGCTCCCGTGTAATCCCCACATCCCGTGACCCCAGCCACGCGGCTCAGCTCCCACACGTCCCACGCCAGATCCCCCACAGCTCCCAGGCAGCAGGAGTGGGTTAGGAAAATCCTGCCAGGCTTGACAGGTGAGGAGGGACCCCTGCAGCCCTGGGGGGTTTGGCATCTTCACCTCATCCTCCAGATGCGTGTGGGATAAACCCCTCAGATCTGCCACCCCAGAGGATCCAGGTGGTGTTCCATAAAATGCGGAAAATCCCTCAGCCTCGGACACAACCCAATTTTAAGGCTGATCTGCTCCAGCCTCTGGATATCAGATGGAACACAAAATCAGTGGCTGCAGCCGCAGTCAGCAGGCACAGCTTCCCTCGCTCCCAGCTCAGGCAGCAGATCCAGCTGGGAGAGGGGAAAACGAGTCCAGCTCTTCTCATTCCACTCTGCTTCCTGCAGCCCTGGGGCCAGCACAGGCATCCCCTCCCCCTGGGAACATGGAGGGCTCCGGACTGGAAAAGGAAAGGAATGCAGCACCTCCAGGAAAATAAGATGGGAGAGACAAAAGGGAAACTGTTCACATCTAAAGGAAAACCTTGGACAAGGAATCTTCCATCCCAGTTCACCTGGCTGGCCCTGCTTGAGACCCGGCATTAAACCCCACAAACCCTTCCTGCACTGCAGGGATGGGGATCCTTCTGCCTCCTTCCCAACAGCAGGGCTGGGAGTTCTCCCTGGAGCAGGGAAATGGGCAGGTTCATAAAGTAAAAGGTTTGTGAGCTCCAGGATCCAGGATCCAGCTCCTGTGGGCAGGAGAGAGGCCAGGGGTCAGCGGGGCAAGGGGGGAATCCCAACCCCGCTGCGAGCTGGGAGGGGGGAAGAGCCTCAACAAGAAGAGATGCAGCACTTGGGAGACGTCCACAGAAACCAGTTTATTCCCCTGCCATCGGGATTATGAAACCACAGAAGCAGAGTTTAAATATTTACAAAGAAATCCAGCGCCCCGCAGAGATGAAGGGAACAAAGGATGCGAGGGACGGGGGGTTCGCCCTCGCCACTCCGAACTCGGCTCGGGTTCAAAAAGCATCGGGAGCAAACGAGAGGGGATTTCACAGTGGGGTTTGGGGAGTCCCAGGAGCGGGGGCTGCTGGACATCCCCAAGTCTCAGCTTTGGCAATTCTTGTAGAGCTCATGGATAAAACACGGCTGGGTCGGACCCAGGGGGGGACTCGAGGTTATTGCTGCTGCGTAGGACGGGTCAGCTCCAGCCCCAGGGCCGGTCACTCCAAGGAATCACACTTAAAATAAACACAGAGGGAAAGGATTCCTCTCTCCCATCCCCCCCGGGGCACGTTGGCCTGTGGCCACTGGGTGGAAAGGCAGGGGAGCTCAGGAACACACCATCCTTTCATCCTAAGGTTCTCTCTGATTGGGATCTTGGCTTTCTGAGCAGCCCCAGGCCCAGCACCCTCCATCCCACGCTCCCCACACCGGAGGGAAATGACTGTAGGGAGCAGACACTGGCATGCTGGAGCTCCAGGGAGATGGGGAAGGGTGCCAAGGTCGGCATCCACCCCAGCAAGGCCAGTGCAGGGCGAGAGAGACCACGGGGGAGAAGGGAGAGGCTTAAGGGGTGATTTAAAAGTGACTGAGGGAAAGGAAATACAGAAACGAGCCCAAGAGGAGGCTCCAACCCTCCCATACGGCTGGACGAGTCAGAGAGGTGGGAGAGGACAGGGAGGCACATGGGGAGGGGTCTGAGAGCCAGGGGGGTGACAGAGACTGCAGGGAGTCCAGCAAAGCTTCCCTGCTGGCCACAGGCACTCCTCGAGCTTGAAATCCATCAGGCAGCAAGGTAACGAGCTGGTTTCCCGACTGGAAAAGCTCTTCTCCTCCCTCTGCAGTCAGCAGGGATCTGCTCAACTGCACATGAGCCTTCAGCCAGGCTTGTTTTCTGAGAACCCACCCGGCTCAGAGCCCTCCAAGCCCAGCCCTGGCAGGGCAGAGCTGTGGCAGACACGGAGCTGGACACGGAAGGGGCTCTGGGTCACATCCAAACCACCTTCCTGCCCGGCACTCAGGAACCACCTCACCCCCTGCAGCCCATCCTGCCCCACCCAGGCCTCAAAGGGGCCGTCAGCCCCCCACCACTGCCTGCCTCACATCAAACCCAGAGCTGTACCCCGGGTGTGCCCTCCAAACCGCACCGAAGGTGCTCAACCGTCCCTGAACCACCACCCAGGGAGGGAAAGCCAATGTCCCAGTCTGCT